ACTACAGCAGTGCACCACCGGGCCAGCCCTATTTATTTATTTTTATTTTTATTGAAGCATAACTAATTATACATATTTTGGGGGTACAACATTGACTACCATTGTCTGTGTACAATGTATGTTGATTGAATCAATATTATTAGCATATTCATTATTGCAAATCTACTTATTCTTTATGCCCCTTTCCTAATGTCTCCCCAACCCTCTCTCCCACCTCTAATAACCATAAATTTGTTCTTTCCTTCTGAAAGAGTAACTATTTCTCTGTTGATTTGTTATCTAGATAATCTGTTCAGTGCTGACAGAGGGGTGTTCAGGTCCCATGCTATTATCATAGAGCAGATGCTCCTTCTGTTACTCTGGAATGTGCTTTATGGAGAGAAATGTTCTTTTTGTTTTCTTTTTTTTTTTGTCTCCTCTAGTGGCTCTTCTTGTGTCAGTGCAGTGAGTAGCTGGTGGGCTACCTGCTCAGTGGCTGTGGCCTCTACTGTGACATCTAGTTGCTTTTGTGGCAGCCTTGGCTATTGCCATGGCTGTGGTGGGCCACCTGCATGGAAGTGGTGTTTTTGGTGTGTTTCTTACCAGGTGCAGTGGCGTGGCACCGGGCAGGTTCAGTGCCCTCTGGCTCCTACCTCAGGATCCTGGGTGGGCCCTGTGGTGGTGGCAGCAGCGTGGTGCCTGGTTGCTTCAGTTTATTCTTTTAGTATGTCGTGTGCTGTTTTATTCCAAGAATAGCTTATAGAGACAAGAACCATTTCTTCCATTTGTGTGGCCGCTTCTCCACGTCTTGTTAGGTATTCAGTGAATATTTCAATTATATAAATGAGGGGAGATTTAGATTTCTTTTTTGGTTCCAAATGATTTGAAAATAGATTTTCAATGAAAATGTTAGGTATATTATTAGTTGTTATTATATTAGTTATATTATTTTATTATTAGTTAATATTAGAGTAAAACTAAGGGCATCTTTGTCCTTACCTTAGGGAGATCGGCAGCTTATGCGGTCAGGAAAGGTTCTCTAACCCATGCAGAGAATTCTAGGTGAGATTCTGAAGTAGGTAATAACCCACATCCCTACCCTGCCTTCAGAGCGTATTTCAAAGTATACATTTCTCTCAGTATGAGTATTAATCTGTGTCCCTTCTTTAGTGCTTCTGTTGAAATAGATGTTAACCTTATGTATAAATTCTCTGAAACAAACTGATAATGCTTTAAAAGTGATTATGATANGGTCTGTATGTGGGATCTGAACCCTCGAGCGGGAGCGCCGCCGCGCTTCCCAAGCGGCGCAGCGCCACCGGGCCGGCCCCAATGTATATAATTTTAATTCGTTATCATTTAATTTGGTATTTGTTAATATCTTCAAATACTTATGACATTGACTTGTGACATTTTCCTCAAATAAAGAGAAATAAGCTCATTTGCACCCAAGGATAAATGATCAGTTCTCCCTAGTTTTTAAATGATGAAGAAAACTTGGGTTATTATTACAATTTAAACATTTTTCCTGAAGAAAAGTATATTACTAATTATTATATTTAGATACTGAGCATAGGCACATTTTAAGCTCCATAATTTTCCAGTGTCCTAGCTTAATTCTCTTTTTAAAATTAATTTTTTTATTGAAACGATTGTACATATTTGTGGGGTACCTTTGAATATCAATAGCTGTATGCAATAAGTGATGCTCAAATCAGGATAATTAGTATATTCAACATTACACAATGTAATCATTTTTTGTTCCCCTTTACCAATTTCTCAATGCCCCCCCCCCCCCACCTTCCTCCACTTTCCCACCTCTGGTAACCTCAGTTCTGTTCTCTCCCTTTGAAAGTTCAACATATAATTGTGAGGTATCTTTCTTTTTTAATTAATTATTTTTAGCTCCCACTTACGAGTGAGGACATGTGGTGTTTCTCTTTCTTGAATTCTCACTCTTAAAGAAAGTTCAGAATGAACTTCAGACTTCAAAGGATCTATTTAGTCAAGAAATGAAAAAAACAGTTCTCCTAATCAGATCTCATACTTAATATTTTACTCTCAGCCATTTATTGAGTAAAATGTTTTGCCTTAAAAAGATTTAATGATTATCAGGAATTGCTTTCATCCATCAATATTTCTCTGAGAAAGGATACACTTTGATTGAACCTGTGCTATAAAAAAACAAAAATGCTATTGAATTGCGGAAATCTCATTATTGAGTTAGAAAAACTTTCAGTGAAATGGAAATTAATTTGTTGTATGTTAATAAAGTACTTGTATTTGTACTTGTGATGAGACAGAGTCCATAGAAAAAATTTCCTTTACATATCCAGGTATGTAAATTAAATACCATATACTGAATGTTTGTAAAACCAGAGGGCAATCTTAAGATGGATATTAGGTTTCTTAACTGTGCTTTACTATATATGAGTGCTGAAACTTCCTTTGATGAAACTGCATCTATGATATTAGGTGGAATGTGTGTAAAATTGAGTTTATCAATATCTATTTTACTCATAAGCATTTGGGAACTTAGTCTAGCAGATACATGATACACTGAAATTAAGCGTAAATTAGTGGCTTTTTTGTGACACCTTTGATCTGATTACTTTCTCCAAATTGTATAATATTTTCCACTAAGCGGGCTGAATTGATATTATTTCAGATTTACATAATTCCACCCTTTGTCTAAATAAAATGGGAAAAAAAGTCCCATTATTCCATGTGAATTATAGACCAGGCTTTTAAGAAAGTGATATATCCTAAAAAAGTTGAGAATGATTAAAGCATTTAACAGTCTTATCATAACTGACTTTTCTTCATAATTTTTCACGTCAATGCTAACCTTATAGACTCTAAAATTGAGTTGGAAAGTGTCCTATTTAGTAGCTCAATATTGGCCTTGCAGCCTTGACTTGTATTCTTAGTGGAAGGTAAATAAAAGGCGTTTTACTGTAGCAGTTTCAGGACTAAAGTTGTAATCCTATGTAGTACCTTGTGTAAAAGAAATTCTTTAACTGACATTTTTGTTAGGGGATGTAAGTTAGCTAATATTGCTTGTGAATATGGTTTAAATGAATAGAATAGATCTCAGTATAAGAAATAGAAATTTTTTTGGTTTAAATGTTTCATCAATTCTTTTTTTTTTTTTTTTTTTAACAAATTTACAGTTTTAGATGGAGGACAAGACCTTCAGTTTTTTCGATTAGCAACATGTGGTCAGGATTGCCAAGTCAAAATTTGGGTTGTTTCTTTTACCCATATCTTAGGTACGTATGCAACTAGTACTTCTCCAAAATTATTTGTGATCTGGAGAAAATTTCTGTTTAATCTTTTCACTTAAGGTATTATGGATATCTAACAGTGATTGTAAAAATACATTTTAAGAAACTTTTAATCAAAGTAATACATATATGTGATTTAAAAATCTATGCCACTTGGGAGAGCGTGGTGCTTATAACACCAAAGTCAAGGGTTCAGATCCCCATGCTGACAAACTGCCAAAAAATAAAATAAAAATCAGTGCTCATCACTGATTATGACCTCACCTCTACCTCTACTGCATGTATTCCTGCTCACCAGACGCAACCATTTTGCACTTGTTTTCTTTTCTACTCTTTTGGTGGTTTTCACATGTTTTGTAAATATTGTTCAAACTCCATTGAGTTTTGGACCTCCTGAACTGATACTATTTTTTTCCTCTCATTTATCTTTTTTTTTTTTTTAACTTTATGGAGAAATTCTTCAGTTTTTTCTTTCAACCTACTTTTGAATTTTTTTTTTTCCTTTTTTTTTTTGTCTTTTTTCCTGACCAGCAATGGATCGCAACCCTCAGTGTCGCGCCCGTACCGGACCGGGACCGGCAATGGGATCGCAACCCTCGGCGTTGCGCCCGCACCTCGCTCAGCCAGTGAGCCGCCTGTCTGTATGTGGGATCCGAACCCTCGGCGGGAGCACCGCTGCTCAAGTGGCGCACTGTAGCAGTGCGCCACCGGGCCGGCCCCTACTTTTGAATTTTTTAATCTCAATTTTATTTTCAATTTCTAAAATCTCATCTTCTTTGTTTCTTTTTCATCATGTGCTCCTTTTATGAGTATAAGATCTTCTCAAAACTCCCAGGATACCAATTTGGAGTGTTTTGTTTTGTTTTTAAGTTCCCTTCTGTTTCCTGATCATTTTTATTTGCTCTTGGACCTTTTTTTTTTTTTTTCTTCCTTACCCTGATCTTTCTCTTTCATATTGTTACTTTCTTCAAATGTCTGGTGATCCTTAGTATTCTTTTCTCATTTAAGAATTAGACAGTAATAAGATGTTTATAAGCTGTGTGCATGTGGGTGGTTTGTTGTTGCTGGCTTCCCTTTAGGATGAGGAGGTGGGTAGTTGACCCTGATGGGGCAGGCATTGGGGCTTAGAGAGTGGATGTCTGTGTGGCCCTAGAGCTACCCAGGTACCCAGGCAGTCATTATTTTCCTTAGAACTCTTTTGCTTAGGGATAAGCACCTGGCTTTTGTGCCACAGGTGGGTTCACTGAGGCATTGGAGGTAGACATTGAATATTACATATTCAGAACTTTCAGTTAATTTTTCTATTTTCATGTATGTGTTATTCTGATTTCTGCTTTTCCCTGACTGTTGATAGTACTAAGTCTTGGGGGTTTTCTAGAGTAGAATAACTTTAACTTTCTTCTTGACCGTAGCCCCCTCCCTTTGCACTCTGGGTTGTCATTCCTCTATACTGCCTAATCAGTTAGTCTGCTTTCTGTCTTCCCAAAATTGGTCTCAATTTCTGGTTCGCTGATGTCCCCCCTTTACCATTCTTTTCATCAGTGTACATTTATATTTTTATTAATTCCTTCATCATCATTTTAATGAGGACAGAAATTTGTGGCCAGTTGGCTATATTGATTCAGATGCCTCAAAATATTACTTGTTACCTAATAAACTTCAGTTAAATCACACACTACACTTTCATTGTTCATAATTATACAAGTGCATAGAAAAGAGCCTGTTAGGAAGTACATTCCTTTTTTAGTGGAAATTTAGTTATTTATTGCCTATTTGGTTACATTTAGTAACCCTTTTAATGTATGACATGCTGGTGAGAATGAGCTCCTTTACTTCTCTGGTCTATCCCTCCTCTTCCTTCTAGTTCCTTCTTTTACCAGAAATAAAATTCTGGTAAGAAATTATAAATATAGTCATGTGTGGATGTTCTGAATACAATATATTTTTAATAACTGTTCAAAAGTAAAGCCTTTCATACATTGTCTGGAAAATATTTTTACAGACTCTTTTTTTTTTTTTTTTTTTTTTTTTTTTTTT